ATCTTTCATTTGTCACATGCAGCACTCTTTTTCCTAAATGTCAAAATTTGGAATTGGAAACAGTATGGCTCTCTGGACTTACATTATTTTTATGGCTGAGCCAGTCACTCTGCACTTTGTACCTTTCCTTCTTCCCTATTAAGTTTACCCTTTGTACCATCTTTATCATATTTCAGTCTTGGTCTATCTATTTAGCACTTTCAACTCTGAACCTGTCTTGCATCACTCTAAACTCAGCCCAACTGGGTATCAACAAAGGCTGTTCTTTGTGCAATCATGCAAATTCATACTGGATGTTCACTAGACCAGAGCAAACACAAATAACTTGCACCTCACCTGAGACCTCCTCTTACTTTTAAAATGTGTAATTAATAACAATTTGGGAGCTAAGGTTACTGATTTTCAGGATGCCATGCTATAGTGGAATCTCTATTTTCTATGGGAGAATGTCAGGCATAAGGCAATATCACTGGAGTTACTAATAATGGATACATCAAATCGAATGCTAACTGCTGGGCCAGCTACTCTGCCAGAGGAATAAATTAGATTAGCCTGATAAACTGATTGTAAATAACCAACTCCATAATCTCTCTCAAAATAAGAGGGAGAGATATAAATTTCCTGCACCTTTCTTTGCCTTCTCCAGACAGCTGGGACCCATCTATCCTCCACAAGTCCTCAAAGAGAAAAGCCTGGAGACTGCTACTCTATGTACTGTAACTCGAACAGGCCATCAGGACTTGTGTAACCTTTCTGCTGGGTTTAGACTGTCATAAACCAGAATGTTTTCAACTTTAAAGGGGTTGCTATAAAAATTCTACCCAGAAAAGTGGGAAAATTAAATTTGCCTTGCGCACATCAAGTGATTTTCTTCACCTGCAACCATGACTGAATTGGTTTAACGAACAATATATAATTACAAGGAGCAAAGGGGAAAAAAACCTCATCAACAAGGTACATAAGCAGGCTCACACACAATGCCTAATTTCTAGATAACTATAACTATTTTATAGTCCTCACCTCTGGTGAGCCAACTGCTGGTACATCTGCTTCTCCCGCTACTGCTTTTTAGTCACAGTCAGGGACTAAAACCTCTTGCTGGGAAACACGGTTGAATTCAAATAGCTGCTGAACTTCTGTAAAAGCAGTTTTCAGTCTGCTGGCTGCCATATCCCTGGTGTCCCATGCAGCTCCGCAGCCCCTCTACCACTTTCCACCCTGGGACCCCTTAGCTCTGGGTAATCCCTGCAGTTTCATGAGCAACTTCAGCCATCCCAGCTCTCAGTAAGGCTGCACACAATGTGGAAAACTAACACCAGCCTCTGGTATGCTCAATTCCTTCATATCTTGGTTCTATATTGGTTACTAGAAAAACTTTCTTCCCCAAAGTGTTGTCAATGTCAAGCTTTGGAACAGGTCCCCCAAGACACTGATGGAGTCACCATCCCTGGAGATATTTAAAAGACATGTAGATGTGGTGCTTGAGGACATGATTTAGTGGTGGATTTGGCAGTGTTAGGATAATGGTTGGACTCAGTGCTCTAAAGGGTCTTTTCAAATAAAACAATTCTGTGATTCTATTCTTAAACAGCTTCTCACACCTCATATGAACTTGTCCAGCATTGTTCTGTGGTTTCAGGGTCCAACTTTTGCCTTCTGGTGCTCAAAACCACTGTTGGCAAGTAGCAGAATAGGTATACCTGTGGTAGATCAAAAACCCCATGGATTTGTAGATGCACAGCTCCACTTGACTGTATGCCTCTTTTTAGAAGAAATACCTCTCAATCACCATGAAACAACATATAGAAACTAAACGTTCTTTTAGTCTGATTCTTTCACTTCATTCCCTTTAGAGGGAACATCAAACATTAACTGAGTACTTCACCCTTGCTGGACTTCCCTTTCTTTTAGATATCTCAAGGAGGCATGGTTTTCATTTTAGCCCTTTCCCACTACGCTTTGTGTAACTCAGTAAGTGTCCTTCAGATTGCTTTTTCCCTATCCTGTCTGTGTTCCTGGCACTTTGCTGTTAATATTAATTGTATTAAGCACTGGGTCATAATTAAACCTTTTTATGGAAGGAGGTTAAGAGAAAGAGGTATGTATTGGAACAAAAGGGCCCTCGAGGCTTTAGTTTTCTGTGTCACTCTTCACTTCCTCACTTTCCCTGTTAAATAACAAGCTGAATTTTCCTTTATTTTTCTCTTAGGTCTAATGTCTTTTCCAAAACTTGTTCTCCTTTCCTAGAATTTCCCCTGCTAGACCCAATTCATTCTGCATCTTTATCATTCTTTCTAGTATCTTCATCCTGTCACAAGACAGTGATTTTCCAGACTGCAAGTTTGGCAGAACTCTAGGAAGGGAGATACAGCGTAACAGCTGAAGCCATCACCTCATCAGAGTTTGTGAGTTCCAAGACTACTCCATGGTGTAAACCCAGGTGTGGTATGTGGGAATGTCTTGGAGAGATGTGACAAAAGTGCATTTCTGACCTGAACTAAAATATTAACATAGATGCCTCCAGTAGCAAAGACGCTGGGGTTCTCCAGAGAGCTGAGAGACTGTTAAAGAGATGAATGAACAGATGAAGCTGAGAAACCTACCTTAATATTATGGTTTAATTGTTGATCTCTTAAGAGGGAGCAGCAACTGAGCCGCATGCCGCAGAACTGGGAAAAAAGTAGGATGGAAAGGCTGGGAAAGCAGGTCTGGAAACAACACACATTTGCCCACCACAGTATGTCACCACTGCTGCTGAAGGTTTGCCCAAGTTTATTCTGTCATATTGCCTTCCGCCAAGGACTTCTGCCTTTTACAATAATGATAGCTGCTAAATGCTGCCTTCACAAACAGTTACTGTAGCTGGCTAGAATTTACACTTCTTGCTTACCTTCTCCCATAAGAGCTTATTTATAACTTCCCGGTTAAGCTGCAGGAACAACTTGCAGGCCCAGTAACAAAACTAAAAGATTATAGTGGTTCCCCTTCCTTCACTTTGGTCGTATGGGGGTGCTCTGAGGGACATAGAAATATCTGGCATGTAAACGAAGGATCTCTGGCAAAAATCTGGAAAAAGTTAAGTTCTGGCCTCACTGAGAGACCCTATCACTCAACATTAATGATATTTTTTCCTTTTTCTGGTTACACTAAGACATGATATTTACTCTTTTCTTATGTCAGCTCCACATTAAAAAAAAATAATTGTTGTGTAATAGTAAGGAAAATTATTCAGCAATGATGTATGTTTAGAGTCATCTTAATACCTAAAGATACATTGAATCTTATTTTCTCCGGCATTAAACTGAGTCACCAGTCTATTTAGAATCTGAGAGACTATCCAATGTAGCACCCCCTGCATCCAAGCTGGCAAATGACATCTCTTTATCAAAGTCATACTGATGAGTTCAGAGTTGCTGAGTTCAGTGCCATAAGAATCATTCCTTAACCACACTGTTACAGCTGACATCCTGAAACTGCCCTTGGTGTGATACTTCATGCTTAAAAATGATATCTCAATCTAAATAAGCATGTGAATTTAGATGAGAAAGGTGACTGCAGGTTGTGCATTTCTTCTCTTAACAATTTGTTGAACTCATAGGACCACATCTGTAATTATGTGCTTGTTTTCATTACTCACACCTACGTCTTTTAATAGGAATACTTTTAAATTTTCTGGGTTTTTTCTCTTTCTAGTTATCTAATACAATCTATAATGCTTCTCAGAACTTTGTAGGTTCAGCAAACATAAACACACATACATATATATATAAATATATATATATAAAACCCCAAACAAAATTATGGAACAATACAAGCCATTTATTTTCATTCCATTACTCACTTTGATTTAAATACAGGAATTTAGGCAGTATATCAAGATAAAAACTCACTAAAATTTAGAGTTTGTATATATGAGAAAATTGACTTCTATAGCCATAATCAAATAATTAAACAGGTTTAGTTAAGTCAGTATACTTCTTTATTTCTTAGTGCAGAATAATTATGCTGGAATAAAGCCACTTTAATTCCAGAATAGACTGCCCACATGGGGAGTTATCCTGAACCAGCTGTAGTAAAATAATTGTTTGACTACAGCTATACCACTTGCTTCCCCCTGAAAGTAAGCCATCAACATAAAAACCTTGCCTTTTTCACAGAAGCTGAGCCATGTTGGCTCAATCCTGTTCCATAAACAAAGGCAAAGGGCTTTGCCATCAGAATGAACACAACGCAAAGAACAGCAGATTTTACTTCTCAATTCAGCACTGAGTGGGAAGGTGCAGTGATGCACTTGAAGGTTTTTATCACTTAAAAGGTTCTGAGTTGCTCTGGGATGTAGAATGGAGAATGTGGATAGAAAGTGAGGCCTTTTGTGTAACGTGCTATATATTTTATAAAAGTGTAGCCCATCACAGAGATAACTCCAGATGAAAAGAGCACAAGATGGGCTACTATTGCAGCATTCCCTCCCTCTGCTGCCCCACGGATACCCCTTGCCTGGCAGGTATTGCGTCTTCCCTCCACTTCTCTGCCGCAGCCTCACAGTGCGCAATCCTCAATTTGCCTTGACCTTTCAAAGCACGGAAACCCTAAGGGGCTCGCTTGCATCTCAGCTTACATCAGTGCAGAGGAGATGTTGGTCCTCTCAACTTCTTTGTACTGCTGTCACTTATGAAGTGAGTTGAAGAATGAACAGAACTGCAAAATTCTGCTTATTGATCTGTGCCTTTGTTTCACTAACATTAGTTTAAATGTTTTAGTATTCTAGACTTAAAGCACAGGCTTCAGAGCTGGCTGATTACATATTATGTGCATCCAATATCCAATTTTTGCAGACAAAGGAATTCTTCCTTCAACCACACAGCTATTCAGTCAGAGGTATTTCACCTCAAAGGCCCTTTATAATTTGGCTCCCCAAGCTCTCAATATGATATAATAATGCACAGTTCTTGCAAATGTCATTTGAACTAAAAATATAAGAAATCCAGGTCACAACTCACCTCGATCTGTGTCGTACAGGAAGACAAAACGGTTCCATTCATAATGATCCAGCAAGCTCAGGAGGGCTCCCCGCAGAGATGGCCGCAGCTGCAGCACAAACTGACTCTCACCCTCTGTGGGGAAACTTGGTGTGATGAGGGAGATGTGCAAGGCGCTGCAGAATGAGGTCAAGGTGTGTACTGATCTCTTATCATATAGTCCAAAAATGGCAAAAACTCCTCTAGAATACTGGGAGCAAACTGAAAACAAAACAAAACAAAACAAAACCATGAAGTTCATCTGGTGACAAAATCAGTACTTAGGCATTCCAATATCCCAAAATTTTTAATTTGAAGATTTTAACTTCTGCCTGTATATTTAACTTCACTTTTCACATGTTTCATTCTGGAAACCAATAAATAGCCAAATAACACTTTGTCACTTTTGGATCCCATTCATTGTCAATAATGTTTTCACTCTAAAAGAAAATATAAAATAAATAACATGTGCTTTTGCACATGACTGAAAATTCAACATATGCTGTTTTAACTATAGCTCTGGATATTATCAGGTGTTGATCATTTCCACTATCTTAAGATGAAAAGTGTTCACATTTTGAAATGTGCAATTATCACAAAAATGTTACCAACCTTGTAAGTGAAAGAAATGTAGACATTTTAAATTGCAACAGTGTAGAACCTATACTCCCATTTACGCAGGGAGTCCTTGCGTTGCATTAGAAGTCTACTACAGACACTGCGTAAAATCTTACTTCATGAATAATCTCCTTGACTTTAGGAGAACAGTTGAAGGGAAACACAGTAAGTCAACATGACCAGACTTTTGCCCCAAACTTTTTATTTCTACTCTGTCAACCGCAAAAGCAGAAGACAATGACCTGAATACATAGTCTGAGTTTTGATTTGTTCTGGGACTCATTTAAGACATAAAGACCTTTATTGATTTTAACAGACCGGATAAAGGCTTTACTGATCTATGCACATAAAAGCAGATATAAGGGTATTTTCTTGAGAAAATACTACCTCTCTAGGAACTCACAAAGGGCTCAATGAAAACACATCCCAACTTTCTTTCAAGTACAATACAACCTATTAGAAATGGAGTGATTATTAAGTGTTACCAATCTCAGAATCACAGAAAATGGAGAAAGGAACAGCCATTTATGGGCTCATTGTATCCATTTTCTCCTATGTATTTACTGTGCTCTCTTGTTCCACAACCTCTTGCCTTGCAACCTGTTCTTTCATGTAGGCTGAAGATGGAAAAACCTAAGGCACATCCTTTAGATGCCCTCCTCTCTTCTAGCCTGGAGGTCACAGTCATCCTGTGAGAGCAGTGCAGTTAGGGTACAATACACATTTAGCAAACAGGCTGACTCAAATCAGTTCAGCTTTAATTCCTTAATATTGCATTTACTGCATAGAAAGCAAAAAATACAAACTGTGCATTTTCCTCCTCAGACTCCAGATCTGATGGCAGAACTGAAGTAGAGTGGCTTGAGGGCAGTTCTGTGATTTTACGTGTTGTCCCACTATTACAATCCCGACCTAAGGATTTTCATAGCCAGATTAGATATAAATAAAGCTTTTTAGAAAGCTTTCTTCCTGTAAGTCCCCATTCAATATGTTGATACACAGCTCTTACAAGACCTCTTACTGTTTTCTTTACTGAACCACACAGCATACATTCTACAAATCCATCAAATGACTGGTTTGCCATTCCACTAATAACCCTAAAAAGTTTTGTTCTATGCTTTTCCAGTTTCATCTCATATTTCTTGAACAAAGATGACCAACTTGTTTAGAATTTCAGTTGAATGCTTTCTGCCTTTTTTTTTTTTATTATTTCCCCATCTCTACAGTAAAATACTGCTGACATATCATAACACCACATTGCATTTTTCTAAATCTTCATGTCTGTGATGGCTGACAGTGATTTCAGGATCAAAATTCTGTTCCTTCTTCCTTCTGGCCTATTTCCAATGATGAGTTTATGCTTATGCTTATAGCATAATATTTTTATTAGTCACTATTATTAATTTTTCATTATGTCATATTTATTACTGTACTCCTCAAAATTATTTACTTCCACAGTTACATTCTTAGCCTGTTCTAAACTTGTACCAATGTTCATGTCTGCCTCACCAGCAAATTCCATCGGGGTACTCAGACTTTTTATTTTTGTGTCTACTGTAAAATCAGTCTCTTCTTAGCATCTTCCTCCTGAAGCTATGCTTCTCCAGCCTGGTACCTCCTCTTCTACTAGTGTTTGTTACATCTTCCTCTTAGTTTCATGCCTGCTTTTTAACTCTCCTATTTGTTTCTATTTTCAGAAATCACTTCTCTTAGGAGAATGCCAGTTTTACTTCATTCTCTTGGCAACTCGAAGACATGGATTAATCCCATACTGTCTACCTTAATAACTTCTGGTTTCATTTTATGCCATTTTCTGTGTGTAGCCATATTTTAAGTCTTTTTTCCATCAAAATCTGTTCTATAACTTTATAGATGTTAAGCTGCTAGGTCCATTGTTGCCAGGATCTATGTCCCCCTTTAAAAGTAAGTACTATTTTATTTATTCATTGATTACACGTTATCATAACTCATTTAACAGCTCTGCTAAGAAGCACATGTTATTTCATCTGCCCTTCAGTAAACCAATTCTTTAAGAACTGCAGAAGAAAGAGGTGATTTTGCTGTTCCCATTAGACATCACACCTCTTTTAAGGTCAACATCCTCCCTGAGTGAAAATCAATGTGAAGTATCTATTAGTTTTATGTCTCTAACCAAATTTTCCTGGTTTTCTGTTCCATCACCAATATATAACAGCTTCAATTATTTTCCTGTTTCCTGTCTTTGTATTTAAAGATGTTGTTTTCATATCTTTTGCAAGTTTCAGTTTTCATTGGCAACCCTAACTTAGGCTCTTATTTCTGCAGGAAATGTCTTCTATACCTCTTGATTTCTTCAACACAATCTTTCTTACTAACAACCCTTTTTAAACACTTGTTTCTTACACATTTCTTGTATAATTATTCATTCAGTTCTGGAGTCACATCCTGCATGTTACTTTCCCCTACAAAGGGATTTCTCAGTGTTTTACAAGTGTTTCTATGAGGAAATGGCAGGCATCCTCTATTTTCAAACACAGTCCAGTTAACTCTGCCAACTGAAATAGTTGAATGTAAACCTTGTGTACGTAAGTGGTAGTTACTTAATGTGTTTTCTGTTTTGAGAAAATCTTTGTTAAGGCCCTGCATTGCCTTAATTCTTTGCAGCCTTAAATGGGCAAATGGTACTTTACATAACATGCGGTCCATACAGAGATTGTACACTTAGTAGAGTTAAAGCTCAAATTCATTCTCAGGGTCGTAAAAAAAAAAGAAAAAGAGAGAGAGAAACAAGTCAAGCTTTAAATTTCATTAAATAATATGACCCTAAAATATTTTTAACTAAAAATAACATAATAATAATTCTTCACATTTTCAAAGCAAACTACCTTTGCTACAGCCCAGAACAAAATGCAATAAAACTTTATCTGACTATCATTAAAGGTCTGAAATAATCAATTAAAGAAAATTTGAACTACTGTAGTTGAGAACAAGACTGGGAAGTTACTGAATAGTGTCCTTTGCTCCATGATAAGAAAAAAATGCTCAGATGAAGGTTATGAAATTTTTTTCTTACTTGGTACAATACCCACAGAGAGGAAAAGTGCCTGTGACACTATGGAGATTAGGCTTAAGCATATGCAGAAATGCTGCAACGCTCCTGAATCAATTTTACAGTAATCAGCAGCGACCACAAAAATCAGCAAATCCATGAGGATTTGCATTCTGACTCACTACTGTCCTCATGAAAATGCCTCCAGGAAAACATGACTACCTGGATTTCCCAATTCTTTATCTATTTCTTTTACAATTCTAAAGGCATTTTACTTATTATAAACGGACTAAATTATGCTTGGTAAAACACTCACATTAAAATTCTAAGAAAATTTTGTTTGAGATTTTTTTTTCCCCATAAATATAATGTAGCGACAAATACACTTTCATGAGCATACTTAGAAATACATTCAATAATAGCTTGTCTCTAAACGAGACATCTCTTCATAGCTGATAACTTAATGCTGGTATTACACGTGATTTTCTCCTGCAAAATTTGCAATGCCACCAAAGATCAGATGAATGCAGAGGTCAGACTCCAGAGAAGACTTTGCAATGCAACTTACATAGCCAAGAGAATGCTATTGCAGTAGATGGAATATGAACTAGATATCTTCTATTTTAGAAGATTGAACTATGTGATAATGCTACCACTTTAAAAGAATAGGTGACTCATGGAACCTTCTGTTAAAAAAAGAAATCATAATGCCAAAAGGGCAAAAATTGTACACTGCAGGGTTTACTGAGGCATACAGTCAAGCCACATCCAGTCTTCCTTCTTTGTGAAAGAAAGACTTTGTGAAGTCCCTGTTATTGTCTGAAGACAGGTCCCACACTTTAAACACAAATTTGTTTTGAAAAACAAAAAGCAAAAAATCAAACCCCAACTTCTTATTCATTGACTTCCAGAAGTTATACTCATTTAGTTTAAATTCTCTAAATAGGTACAGGGGAAGTCAGAGTCCAAATACATGTAATCACAACCACGGGAATTACATAGAAGAGGTCAAGTGAAAGTTTGTGCGAAATGTGTATGTACAAATACACATACATATATATACACCTGCACACATATTACATATTGGTCTTGTTTTATTGTTTAGTCACACCTAAAAGTTTAAAAGTTTCTTCAGGAGACAAAAAAAAAAAGAAGTCTGATAAGCAAACAATAGCATTAGTTTTGCTCAGCAGCCTATATGGTACCTATACCATATAGGTATGAATCTGGAAGACCCACAGTCTTAACACAGAGGTAACATGATAGATCTTGCTTCAGCCCCCGAGTCTTCCAGGACACAAGCTCTGAAATGAGTACTTAAAAAAGTTTTTCCCTGGGTTTAGGCTCCTACATGGGATGCCCTGACACAGTTGTCTGTTACAGATACACTGACAGAACCACTGATCTGCCAAAAACTCACAAACTGTAGCAGCACCAAAACTGAAAGACTTGGAGCAATTTGTGTTATGGAAGTTTTCCAGATATGAGGACTCTTTCATTGCTCTCCATTTCCTCCTATGCTTTGAAGATCAGGACAGGGAATGCAGACTGTGGTCAGTTCAGTAACAACTTGTCT